ACGAGGGGAATGCTACTTTACTGCCGGGCTACACGTGTGCACCATCCTGTCACTTGCTGGGTTGTTCTTATCAGCAATTACAAAATTCATTCGGAGAAATCCCGATCGTACCAGCTCGTAGCGACCACCACCAGCTCATAGCCAGGGCAACCATTTCAACGTGTTAAGCTTCACGACATTTGATCATAATTGGCGATAATTTATGTCCCAATTGTTTTTATCCGGCATATTTTACGTGTAAATAAAGAGGTATTTTTTTTAAAGAACAAAAGGCTATATTAAAACGCCAAACAAGCTCCGAAACGGACGCCTCCAGAGAGGAAGGGAACGCGCACGTGGCTGTGACGGGGACTGCGAGCGCGCGCACGTGGCTGTGACGGGGACTGCGAGCGCGCGCACGTGGCTGTGACGTCGGCAAAATTGGCACTCAGAGGCGTCGCGACATCACCCGCGCAGCAGCGGGGAGTCTCTGAGCGTACAACACCAAATGTCTGCAAGTTATTAAAAGGCACTGCGCGTCAGTGACAATATCTGTATGCCAAGCTTCATAGAAACTCATTACGTGCACGTGAGCCGGCGACACGCACAATTGAGTGGACATTGTAAACAAATAGCAGACCACGTGTCCCATGGTTTGGTTTGTGTCCATTCGATGAGTCTCGCACACTTGTTCGTTCCACCACTGCCCGTCCAGTTAATCAACAGATATCTCGATTAGCTCATTTAAAGTCGTTGTCAATGCTACAAATATCATCTTGCCAAACGGAACTTGTATATGGGTCTGTGTCAGAGGGCAATGCACCATGGTGACACACGCGAGTGGCTGTTGACGGGACACGCGGTGGGCTGCAGACTGTGCCGGGCCGTGTTTGCAGCGTGCTGCTGGTGACAGTGACGAACACCGAGGAAGACCAATCGACGCATTCACCTCCCTAAACGTCGTTTCGTGTGACGCCTTCGAGTACTCCACGGTTTAAACGCTCAGCTTTGGATGCCAATCTTCTTTGGGGTTTCTTGTCGTTGCATTATTAAATTATAGTTCTGCCGCGGCCCCCCCCCCCCCCCCCCCACCGTGAGAGCGGGCGACGCGGGCCCTCTGCCGTGTGACGCGTGCCCTCTGCCGTGTGACGCGTGCCCTCTGCCGTGTGACGCGTGCCCTCTGCCGCGTGACGCGTGCCCTCTGCCGCGTGACGCGTGCCCTCTGCCGCGTGACGCGTGCCCTCTGCCGTGTGACGCGTGCCCTCTGCCGCGCGACGCGGGCCCTCTGCCGCGTGACGCGAGCCCTCTGCCGTGTGACGCGAGACTTGTCGGTGAGACTCGCCACGAGAAGTTTAAAGCGTAAAATATATTTTAGTGGGAGATGTTCTCGTTCTTTGCAACACATTTGTGTTGTAAAGACACACTGTCGTATTCTTGTAATGCCATGAGTCTCACCGCTTGTTCATCAAATCCAAAAGCATTGCACCCGCCGTACGAGGACACTTACGACTGCCATTTTGAACTGAACGCGACGTTTTTGTGGCTCGTGGAACAATGTGCGCCCACCGTATGCCAAGGAATCACAGTGTCTCACGTGACACTTTTAGTCATTGGTTGTGTCACGTGGAGGAGGGTTCATGACACATTTTTACACGTCGACCTCACCCCAAAAAAACAATTACAAATCAAAAGATTGGTTGTGAATCCCTACGTAAATATATGTATATAGTATATATAATATATGTATATATAATATATGTATATAATATATATGTATATATAATCACATTCTTTCATAAGTGACGTCTCTGACTCGTGGCGCCTTGGCGGCCGCGTGCGCTGCTACAGCTGCTACAGAAGCTACTGCTGCAGCTACTGCTGCAGCAGTAGCTGCAGCAGTAGCTGCTGCTGCAGTAGCTGCTGTAGCAATATCTACTGCAGCTGCTGCAGGTGCTGCTGCAACTGCTGCTACTTTAGCTGCTGCAACTGCTGCAGCTGCTGTAACTTCTGCAGCTGCTCCAGAAGCTGCTGGTGCAGGTGCTGCTGCTTTAGCTGCTGCAGGTGCTGCTGCAACTGCTGCTGCAGGTGCTGCAACTTCTGCAGCTGCTACAGAAGCTGCTGCTGCAGGTGCTGCTGCAGGTGCTGCTGCAACTGCTGCTGCTTTAGCTGCTGCTGCAGGTGCTGCTGCAACTGCTGCTGCAGGTGCTGCAACTCCTGCAGCTGCTACACAAGCTGCTGCTTTAGCTGCTGCTGCAACTTCTGCTGCTTTAGCTGCTGCTGCAACTGCTGCTGCTTTAACTGCTGCAACTGCTGCTGCTTTAGCTGCTGCTTTAGCTGCTGCTGCAACTGCTGCTGCTTTAGCTGCTGTTGCTTTAGCTGCTGCTGCTGCAACTGCTGCTGCAACTTCTGCTGCTTTAGCTGCTGCTGCTTTAGCTGCTGCTGCAACTGCTGCTGCTTTAGCTGCCGCTGCTTTAGCTGCTGCTGTAACTGCTGCTGCTGCAGGTGCTGCTGCTGCTGTAGCTGCTGCTGCTGTAGCTGCTGCTGCTGTAGCTGCCGCTGCTTTAGCTGCCGCTGCTGTAGCTGCCGCTGCTTTAGCTGCTGCTGCTGCTGTAACTGCTGCTGCTGTAGGTGCTGCTGCAGGTGCTGCTGCTGCTGTAGCTGCTGCTGCTGTAGCTGCTGCTGCTGTAGCTGCCGCTGCTTTAGCTGCCGCTGCTGTAGCTGCCGCTGCTTTAGCTGCTGCTGCTGCTGTAACTGCTGCTGCTGTAGGTGCTGCTGCAGGTGCTGCTGCTGCTTTAGCTGCTGCTGCTGTAGCTGCTGTTGCTGTAACTGCTGCTGCTGCAGGTGCTGCTGCTGCTTTAGCTGCTGCAGGTGCTGCTGCTGCTGCTTTAGCTGCTGCAGGTGCTGCTGCTGTAGCTGCTGCTGCTGCAGGTGCTGCTGCTGCTGTAGCTGCTGCTGCAGGTGCTGCTGCTGCAGGTGCTGCTGCTGCTGCTTTAGCTGCTGCAGGTGCTGCTGCTTCTACTGCTTTAGCTGCTGCAGGTGCTGCTGCTTCTACTGCCCGGCCCCCGTCCACGCGGCTTGTGGGCAGCCGGGACGGCAGCAGTGCAGAGCGCGCGACCCTGAGAATGGAGACAGCAGCCACAAGGGGATCGAAACACTTCCCGGGGGTCCCCCGAAACGTCTAGCTGTTTCAATAGGGCCCTCACTTGGTAAATAAATATAACCCCACCGCAGTGAGATGTATCTGCATGGTAAAAGTCAATTAAACGACTATTTTCGGGGTGGCGATCACCCGAATCTCACACCCCCTTGTTTATAAAGATCATGGGCAGAACAAATAAAATGGTTTCGTCCTTAATGGACACCTTGTGTTGACGTTGCTAACGTTCAATATTTATTTCCATAAAACCTCACTGGTGCCGGTAACACTGTGGATTGTCACGCCATTGTTATTTGTGCTGTGCATTTCCCGATGTTTGTATTTCATCCAATTCTTTCGAGAAATTGTCCTAAAATCTCATCCCCAATGAGACACTCGGAGTGTGTGTTGCTAGCAGGGCTCGTATCGTACTTGGGCGCAGCTCACATTCCCTTGTTGGACTGATTGCCGATGTCCCCAAGAATCTGTCCAAAGCATTACTCGGCGTTCTCAAAGAGGATGGCGGGACAATGAGGATGGCGGGACAAAGAGGATGGCGGGACAATGAGGATGGCGGGACAATGAGGATGGCGGGACAATGAGGATGGCGGGACAATGAGGATGGCGGGACAATGAGGATGGCGGGACAATGAGGATGGCGGGACAATGAGGATGGCGGGACAATGAGGATGGCGGGACAATGAGGATGGCGGGACAATGAGGATGGCTGGACATTGAGGATGGCGGGACATTGAGGATGGCGGGACAAAGAGGATGGCGGGACAATGAGGATGGCGGGACATTGAGGATGGCGGGACAATGAGGATGGCGGGACATTGAGGATGGCGGGACATTGAGGATGGCGGGACAAAGAGGATGGCGGGACAATGAGGATGGCGGGACAATGAGGATGGCGGGACATTGAGGATGGCGGGACAATGAGGATGGCGGGACAAAGAGGATGCCGGGACAATGAGGATGGCGGGACAATGAGGATGGCGGGACATTGAGGATGGCCACTCCTCCCGTCCGCTGTCGACTCTTAGACCAGAGCGTTGTTCGGCACAATGTCCAACGTTTCACAGCACGTGCTGGCAGCTTTTTCAGCAACTTCACGAAATGGAGCTCTCAGCACGTGGTGTGGAACGTCGCACAGCTTGCCGAACAATGCGCGGAACGTCCCAGAGACGCGTGAGAGAGCTGTACAGTATTGTTCAGTGTTGTTCAGTGTTGTTCAGTGTTGTTCAGTGTTATTCAGTATTGTTCAGTGTTGTTCAGTGTTGTTCAGGGTTGTTCAGTGTTATTCAGTATTGTTCAGTGTTGTTCAGTGTTGTTCAGTGTTGTTCAGTGTTGTTCAGGGTTGTTCAGTGTTGTTTAGGGTTGTTCAGTGTTGTTCAATGTAGTTCAGTATTGTTCAGTGTTGGTCAGTGTTGTTCAGTGTTGTTCAGTATTGTTCAGTGTTGTTCAGTATTGTTCAGTGTTATTCAGTATTGTTCAGTGTTATTCAGTATTGTTCAGTGTTATTCAGTATTGTTCAGTGTTGTTCAGTGTTGTTCAGTGTTGTTCAATATTGTTCAGTGTTGTTCAGTGTTGTTCAGTATTGTTCAGTGTTGTTCAGTGTTGTTCAGTGTTGTTCAGTGTTGTTCAATGCTGTTCAGTATTGTTCAGTGTTGTTCAGTATTGTTCAGTGTTATTCAGTATTGTTCAGTGTTGTTCAGTATTGTTCAGTGTTGTTCAGTGTTGTTCAGTGTTATTCAGTATTGTTCAGTGTTATTCAGTATTGTTCAGTGCTATTCAGTATTGTTCAGTGTTGTTCAGTATTGTTCAGTGTTATTCAGTATTGTTCAGTATTATTCAGTATTGTTCAGTATTATTCAAGATTTTGTTCAGTGTTGTTCAGTATTGTTCAATGTTATTCAGTATTGTGCAGTGTTATTCAGTATTATTCAGTGTTATTCAGTATTATTCAGTGTTATTCAGTATTGTTCAATGTTATTCAGTATTGTTCAGTGTTATTCAGTATTGTTCAGTGTTATTCAGTATTGTTCAATGTTATTCAGTATTGTTCAATGTTTTTCAGTATTGTTCAGTGTTATTCAGTATTGTTCAGTGTTATTCAGTATTGTTCAATGTTATTCAGTATTGTCCAGTGTTATTCAGCATTTTTCAATGTTATTCAGTATTGTTCAGTGTTATTCAGTATTGTTGAAGTGTTATTCAGTATTATTCAGTGCAATGTATATCCGCTCTTATTCACTTCCCTTCGAGTGAGCGAGGAGTGAATGTCTTGCACCCCTCCCTTAGGGGTTGAAACGCGTTCACTTGATATTCACTTCTGGCCAACATGCACTCACAAGGCTACATTGAAGTTGGCCGTTTTAAACTTACAACTTAGTGCACGGTGTGTGTGTGAGAGTGGTCATTTGAAGCCGTATTGAGAAGGGATGTATCGCTATAACGAAGTTATAAAACACTCCGAGGGTCGCAGACACATTAATCCCGCTCAGAGCAGCCTTCTGGGAGCGGCGAGAACTTCAGTAGTAAACGTGAACGCGTGATATTCTCCCACCTTTGTTTTACACTTGTGCTACGGCATTGTTCCAGTCTCGTTAAAGTTCACCAACGTTACATACGCGCGTTACATCGTTGCACAATATCAACATTCAAAGCAGCAGTGCAACTCGGGCTTAAATAGCTTCTCCGCTGTGGCTGAACGTCAGTGCATGCTGACAGTCGTGTTGGCGTTATAGGGACGCATTTGTGGCGCGTGCCGTGACGTCACTGACGGTGTCACGTGGTTGGATGTCAGCGCAGTGCAAAGCACTCACCGAGGGTAACGCATTCGCAAGTGGCATGCTTTGGTCGGGGCGTCTTAACAAACGCTTTTAGCAATACTTGCATAGCAACATTTATTATCGATCATTAGCTCCATGCGCCAGGCAGTACCTTAACGGTTCTGTTAAGTCTACAGTTTTACTAAAAAATACGACTTCGTTCAATACACTTCCTAATTGGTTTCACTTATTATTTCAATGCGGATGTGTAAAACAAATTCGTTTGTTGTAAATGTTGAGGTTACATTTCAGGACACCTCCCCTAACACTCGGAGTTCCTTCTGCCAGTGATCGTGTGTGACATCACAATGATCGTGTGTGACATCACAATGATCCTTTGTGACATCACAATGATCGTGTGTGACATCACATTGATCGTGTGTGACATCACAATGATCGTGTGTGACATCACAATGATCGTGTGTGACATCACAATGATCGGTTGTGATGTCACAGTGGTGGTTTGTGACGCCTGTGATGGTGTTGTACAGATACAGACATTCCCCTACTCTCCGATTGCCCTGCCAACAAATGGGCTCCTCCACAATCGCGAAGTTGTAAAGTTGATATAATTGAGATGTGAATACTGCGGAGGGGTGTGTATAGATTCGAGTGTAATTAGTCTGAGTTGCGCATACGTTATACAAGGGTATTTTCAAACGTTTAAAAATAATTTAATTATATCAGGAAAGCTAATTATATGGCTTTCTACGAGAATACATTTGTTCTGAGACGTTTAAAACGTTTCCTCAAAGCGTCTTCCCAATGCCTCGTGTATGGCCTCAGACACACGGTGCAGGCCTCCGCTCACAGTGGCTCATTGCAAGAATGAAGTCTCGAGCACTCCCACCATGGAACATGAGACGATACGCTGCCGTACTCCGACAAAACAATGAGGGGATGATGATGATGATGATAATAATAATACAATGAGATAACTTACAAATACATCAAGGCATCAAATCGCCACTACCCGCCGCCCGTGTCTATTAAACCCTCCTGGACCCATCCCCCGACGCTTGGTCAACAGGAAAAGGCACCGATAAGCCAGCGGTGAAATTTACGTGGTGCTCAGCCTGCGACGTCCCGAACGAGACACCGACTGAGGATCCAACAGAGGTGCCGCGTGGCTTCTCCGCGTCGCAGAGACCCGGGGCTGCAGCGAGCCGCGTTAGGGACGGCCACGTCGCCTGCAAGACGACAATGGAGGAGCCGCAGAGTTGCTGTGAAGCGCAAAGCCATCACTCACCTCACGCTGTGGTGTGTAATATGGGTCTCTATGTGGGTCTACGGGTATCTGTGTGGGTCTATGGGTGTCTATGGGTATAGTTGCCTATGTGAGTCTTTGTAGGTATATAGGTTTCTACAGCAGTCGAATTATTCCTACGGTAATTGTATAGGATGGATCTTCATGTGGGTCTATGGGTTACTATGTGGGACTGTAGGTTTCTTTGGGTCTCTGCGCGAGTTTTAATTGTGACTGCAGTGAAGTGTGATCCATCGTTAGCGTCCCCGCTTATTGCCCCACACGCGCCGTATTGCAGGACCCACGTCCACAATCAACACGCGCAGCTAGACACGAAGCTGGAGCTTTGCACGTTCTATACGAAAGAAGAAAAAGGTCAACAAAATGTACCAGATGTGCGCTGCCACGAGATAAAGTCTCCCCGTGTCACCTTCACAGACTGCTGGGGCAAGTGCTGTGAGAGAGCACCTATTAAGGCCGGCACGGCACACGAGGGAAGGGGTGCCCAGCACGACGCCGTTGTCTCACCAGTGCTGATGCTTGCACATGGCACCTGATGCTAAATTAAGGTTGAGTAGACCCAGGAGAGGCCCAGGACCAGCTCGCGTATTCGTCACTTTTATTGTTCGTGAGCGGGAACCGAACTCGGGTGGCTGGGTTCGTAGCAAGGGGCGCTAACCACAACGCCACTACTCTCTATTCTGTCACTATAGTGTTACACGACTAATAGAGTTAATGCCAAAGTCTTACTTATTCATAACTTTACTATTCACAGTTTTGTCTCCAATCTAACTTTACTTAACGTGCATTTAAAAATGCATTTTGAGGTAATTCATTTGATATTTTTATTCGGAAGCTAAGAGCTTTCCGCTCGTACAGAATGAGCTATGCAGGCGACAGTGTGTGGCATTGTTCACACGAGGGTGGTGACAATGAGATAATGCCAATTTGTGCTTTGAACATGTCTTTTCATTCCATACATATTTGTTCTTAATATTTCACCAGTTACGTCCCAATTAAGCCTTTGCCTTTTCGCACAGAGAGATATAATAATAATGAAGTGGTATTTGTGTATAGCGGTGTTGTCCGTGCAGGTTGCATCTCAAAACGCTTTTTGTGTAGAGCGTCTACAGCGCGCACAGTTTTTGTTTTGCTTGGAGGCACCGAAAACACTCCAAGCAGCAAGGCTGCCAGAACCGACACTACCAACAATTACCCAAGCTCTGTGGCCCTATATTGAGATGTTTGGCCAACTCCATTCACGAATGCTTACACATTAAGTTTTGATTGATTTTGCCCCCCCCCCCCCCTTCCATTATAAGCAAGGCGACTTAACGATAACGCGAATTCAATTTCTGATCAAGGGCCCCGATCCCAAGGCCCCAATCCCGTCCAGCCGTGCGGCAGAGACCGCGGTCGCTCTGCCCCTCCGGGTCGCGCCTGAGCCACGTGCGGCGCCTGAGCCACGCGAGGCGCCTGAGCCACGCGAGGCGCCTGAGCCACGCGAGGCGCCTGAGCCACGCGAGGCTCCTGAGCCGCTTCGCTTGCGCCCGTCTTACCCCCCGCTGCTGTCAGCGCGGTCACTTCGAGTGGAGACGACCCCCAGCCATGCCGCCTCGCTCTGTCACGCCTCGCTTACATCGTCCACTCTTACATTTAGACGTAAGAAAAACACACTTTTTTAATTAAATAGGCTTTAACGCAACTAAACCAACAAGGGGAGACGTAAACCCGGGTTAACGTGAACAGAGAAGCCCGCCGGCTAGTCTACAGCCGACTTCAATGCGACAACTCACAAATTCGTATTCACGAAAGTGCCCGAAGCTCGTCAATGCCGATAGCCGGGTACATTCAACATCACGACTGCGATTTCCATTGAGCTCAAGGTAGCAGAGCTACTATTCGTTGAGTGTATGTAGCCAAGAACCACATGTAGAGGGAGGGATCGTCGAGGCACATGAGGTTCCGATCCCCACACCGCGGGTTCTTTGTGCTGTGCCCGCTTCACGCGGTGGCAGCGTGCAGGGCCCTCTGCGTTCTCAACGCATCCACACAGCACTGCGTCCCCCCCAGCCCAGCCCTTCGTCTCGCTTACGTTTCTTACTTAAGGCCTTCCGGGTACTGTACTCGTTTCAAACTAAAGTCACTTTAAACACAAAATGTAACAACTCACCACACACACCGTGACGTACAAACAGGCATTATTGCATCATCGTGGGGGGGGGGGGGGGTGATTCGTTTGGTTCAGAGTGGGCTGCTCGCAGGCGATTTTGATCTTTCGTGCCAAATTTCCGTGAAGGTGGCAGCGGGGACGCCACCCCCCGCGCCGCGCTCAGCGTCCCCGCGCGCACGGCCCCAGCTCGACGGGGCCAGGGAGCGGCAGTGGCGGCCGAGCCCGCGTGGGCCCACGTGGGCCCCGCGTGGGCCCCCCGTGGGCCCCGCGTGGGCCCCGTGCAGGCCGCTCGTGCAGGCCGCTCGTGCACAGTCGATTGGGAACGACGGCGGTGGTGGTGGCGACAGCAGCAGCTGTGGGACGTGAGTTCGAGCAATGCCTCGCTATTAAATCAGACGTTGCAACTGGCAGTCAAGACCTGACGTGGAGCTCCCGAAGAATGAATTACGCAGGCAAGTCGAGCATCCCCTTGCATTACAGATGAACTTTAAATTCATCTCGAACCAAACATTTGTTTTGTTATAATCAAGAATATTATATTTGGCTTAGTTACCTTAAGTATGTACAATAAACATGCTTTTTACCTTTTCATGTACGCATTCAAATTCAAATCAGATATAATTTTGGAGCAAGCGTTTAGTAACTGCGCAAGGAAAAGTCAAATTTGTGTCTGGGTATTAGTTGTTTTAGGACACGTTTCCCCCCTCCTGCGGGGTCGCATGCAAGAGTCCTCCTCCCGTCGCCGCACCGCCCACACTCCCCGTGGAAGCGCGCAGCAACGCAACCACGGGCTAGGGGCAGCCTGCAGGGCAACGCCGTGCACGCAGTGCCAGTGGGTGGCCACTGCAGGGAGACCCTGCCGAGCTGAACTCACTCCTCGCGGATTTGAAGCCGGTAGCGATGGTAGCGCAGCTGGAAGAACAGGCGCTGGGGAAGCGAGAAGTCCATACCGGGCAGCACGTAATCTTCAGTGACACCCATGTGTTTGAAGCCCAGCGACTGGTAGAGACGGTGGGCGTCGATTTTCACAGCGGTCGTGCTCAGCACCACCGCGGTGTTTCCGTTGGCCAGCGCGAAGTCGATGACCGTGCGGCCAAGGGCCTTGGCGATGCCCCGGCCGCGGTAGCGCGAGTCCACAGACATGCGGCACAGCTCCACGGTGTTGTCCTCCGTGTGAGCGCGGGCCCCAACGATGCCCACCACGTCGCCGCCCAGCACCGCCACCCAGAAGCAGGAGCCTGCGAAAGGCACCGCGGGGAACTCGTGCGCTCTGCCCGACGAGTCGCGTGCAGCGCGCATCGCCTGCTGGGGCGCACTGTCTCTCTCTGTCTCTCCCTGTCTCTCTCTGTCTCTCTCTGTCTCTCTGTCTCTCTCTGTCTCTCTCTCTGTCTCTCTCTCTGTCTCTCTCTGTCTCTCTCTCTGTCTCTCTGGCATCGCCGCAGCAGCAGCTTCTTCTTCTACTGCGGGGAAAGTGGGAGGCGTGGGCCTCGTGCAAAGCCATCGAGGAGACTTTCTGGCTGATTGGAAACAAACCGGGCGCGTACACTCGGGCTGGGGATATCACCACAATTCTCACCTGGCTGGTGGAAGGTAGCACGCATCACACCGGGGGTGTGCCTGGGTAGTTGGCTCACCCCCTGCTATAGGAATCTAGAGCTGTAGAGGCCATCGAGGGGAGAGGATGGTGGCGAGCTATGACTGTGTCAGCATCTACAGATGCTGCTGCTGATACAGTGAGGGAAAACAAGTATTTGATCCCCTGCTGATTTTGTACGTTTGCCCACTGACAAATAAATGATCAGTCTATAATTTTAATGGTAGGTTTTTTGAACAGTGAGAGACAGAATAACAACAAAAAATCCAGAAAAACGCATGTCAAAAATGTTAAAAATTGATTTGCATTTTAATGAGGGAAATAAGTATTTGACCCCTCTGCAAAACATGACTTAGTACTTTGTGGCAAAACCCTTGTTGGCAAATACAGAGGTCAGACGTTTCTTGTAGTTGGCCACCAGGTTTGCACACATCTCAGGAGGGATTTTGTCCCACTCCTCTTTGCAGATCTTCTGCAAGTCATTAAGGTTTTGAGGCTGACGTTTGGCAACTCGAACCTTCAGCTCCCTCCACAGATTTTCTATGGGATTAATGTCTGGAGACTGGCTAGGCCACTCCAGGACCTTAATGTGCTTCTTCTTGAGCCACTCCTTTGTTACCTTGGCCGTGTGTTTTGGGTCATTGTCATGCTGGGATACCCATCCACGACCCATTTTCAATGCCCTGGCTGAGGGAAAGAGGTTCTCACTCAAGATTTGATGGTACATGGCCCCGTCCATCGTCCCTTTGATGCGGTGAAGTTGTCCTGTCCCCTTAGCAGAAAAACACCCCCAAAGCATGATGTTTCCACCTCCATGTTTGACGGTGGGGATGGTGTTCTTGGGGTCATAGGCAGCATTCCTCCTCCAAACACGGCGAGTTGAGTTGATGCCAAGAGCTCCATTTTGGACTCATCTGACCACAACACTTTCACCCAGCTGTCCTCTGAATCATTCACATGGTCATTGGTAACAAGCTGAGATTAGGAGCACTCCCTTTAAGAGTGTGCTTCTAATCTCAGCTCGTGACCTCTATAAAAGACACCTGGGAGCCAGAAATATTTCTGATTGAGAGGGGGTCAAATACTTATACCCCCATTAAAATGCAAATAAATGTATAACATTTTCGACATGCATTTTTCTGGATTTTTTTGTTGTTATTCTGTCTCTCACTGTTCAAATAAACCTACCATTAAAATTATAGACTGATCATTTCTTTGTCAGTGGGCAAACATACAAAATCAGCAGGGGATCAAATACTTTTTTCCCTCACTGTACTCTTCCGATTTATATATAAAGTTTTCAAAACAACCCCTTTCTCGGAGTTCACATAACGGCGCTCGACAGAGCCATGAGCGGGTGATGCGTGGGTGGTGATGTTGTTGGTTGCCGTGAGAAGAATCGCTCTGACCGCGCGTGTTGGTGGTGGGCACGCAGCGTACCTGGGGTCTTGATGTAGTTGAGCGGGATGTCGGCCATGTCTTTGCAGAGGGCGTTGCTGGCATAGCGCAAGATCAGCTGGCGGCTGTAGTAATAGCGCAGGGCCAGCAGCAGCAGTGGCACACAGCACGTGAGCAGCAACGAGTGTGTTAGGCCCAAGCAAAAAACTGGTGAGAAAAGGGAGAGACATAATCGAGACCTAACAGAAAAGATACACAACACAGGCTGTTAGAACACTGCCACCTTCAGAGTTGCATTAGTGTTCCAGCAAAAGCCACTCCCTGCTAACTGAGTGCGTCTCTAGACATTGCACGATGCGTCTCTAGACATTGCACGATGCGTCTCTAGACATTGCACGATGCGTCTCTAGACATTGCACAATGTGTCTCTAGACATTGTACGATGCGTCTCTAGATGCACGATGTGTCTCTAGACATTGCACGATGTGTCTCTAGACATTGCACGATGCGTCTCTAGACATTGCACGATGTGTTTCTAGACATTGCACGATGTGTCTCTAGACATTGCACGATGCGTCTCTAGACATTGCACGATGTGTCTCTAGACATTGCACGATGTGTCTCTAGACACTGCACGATGTGTCTCTAGACATTGCACGATGTGTCTCAAGACACTGCACGATGTGTCTCTAGACATTGCACGATGTTCACGCGGCTCGCTGCTCATGTCGATCCACGCGACTTGTGTGGGGTTATTTGACCAGAGTACACCGCGCTGGTCAATGCGTGGTGACGAACACTGTAACCCATGTTTCAATGTTTATTTGATACACGGAAAGTCCCGTGTAGCCAGCTACCCAGCGAGCTTTCGATGGAGAACCGCGTGGTGCAGCAGTACAGAACAAGAACAATATCAAAGTAATCCGTAACTATGAATAGGTAACATCGGAACAGAACGCATCGGAGGTACAGGCACAATTACAGCATAAAGAACAGATAAATATATTAACAATGCTTTAAAACGAATAACTAAAATTAACGATATAAACATTTTTTTTCAGTTTATTTATTTTGGTATAGCCCTGTGAGCCATTCGGCTATTGAATCGGGTGCAACCACAACAAACATAAAAACTAAAACACGAACAAGAAAACATCTTAAAGTGACTATGTGACTGTGCAAACAGAAAATCCATGAAAAAAAAACATCAAAAAATTCCTGAAAAAAGCACCGTACACCACCAACGCTGTGTGCAACAAATCCCAGTGGGATGCAAGTCAAACAACAACAAACACAAGAAAACTTAGATTAAGGCCATCAGTCTAACTCCGTACTACAACAAAACAAACATGTCCAAACCAAAAAACGTTTTCGAAATCACCAAAAAAATAAAGCCATAATTGCAACGTAACAGTGACCATAGGGACTGTGACCAAATTTTTACAATAAACTACATAAATAACTTGTAACACCAAATCTTAGAGCCATAGCTGGCGGCATGAGTTTCTCCACAACAACAGAAGCATCAATCGGAGTATCTAATTTTTCAATGCACCTTTAAGATCAGCACGCTAGATCAAAATACAGATAATACTTTGCAGCGTCATCCGGAGCGAAAACATTTGATTTGATTTTACGCAAATGAATAGCAGTGGCAGCTAGGGGTGTACAACTCCTTTAGAGCAGTTTTGAAAGAAAATCTCATTGGTAGCGATTCAAGTAGCAGTTTATTGGCAATAGCATTCCAGATCCTGGGGGCATCAATAGCAAAGGCCCTTCCTCCAGTTTTTGTACGGCAATATGAAATGCGAAGCTTGTAAATGAGCGAAGACCTGAGGTCAAATTTGTTCTTTGAAACAGAGAGGAGATCCAGCAGGTAGTCTGCGGATTTTTTTGTAAGTACATCGTTAAGATATACGGGCTAGGGGTTAAGATATACGGGCTAGGAGTTAAGATATACGGGCTAGGAGTTAAGATATACGGGCTAGGGGTTAAGATATACGGGCTAGGGGTTAAGATACACGGGCTAGGAGTTCGATATACGGGCTAGGGGTTAAGATATACGGGCTAGGGATTAAGAAATACGGACTAGGGGTTAAGATATACGGGCTAGGAGTTGAGATATACGGGCTAGGGATTAAGATATACGGGCTAGGGGTTAAGATATACGGGCTAGGGGTTAAGATATACGGGCAATGAGTTAAGATATACGGGCTAGGAGTTCGATGTACGGGCTAGGGATTAAGAAATACGGGCTAGGGGTTAAGATATAAGGGCTAGGGGTTAAGATATACGGGCTAGGGATTAAGATATACGGGCTAGGGGTTAAATATACTGACAAGGGGTTAAGATATACGGGCTAGGGGTTAAGATATACGGGCTAGGGGTTAAGATATACGGGCTAGGAGTTAAGATATACGGGCTAGGAGTTCGATATACGGGCTAGGGGTTCGATATACGGGCTCGGGGTTAAGATATACAGGCTAGGAGTTAAGATATACGGGCTAGAGGTTAAGATATACGGGCTAGGGGTTCGATATACGGGCTAGGAGTTCGATATACGGGCTAGGGGTTAAGATATACGGGCTAGGGGTTAAGATATACGGGCTAGGAGTTAAGATATACGGGCTAGGGGTTAAGATATACTGGCTAGGAGGTCGATATACGGGCTAGGGCTTAAGATATACGGGCTAGGAGTTCGATAAACGGGCTAGGGGTTAAGATATACGGGCTAGGGGTTCGATATACGGGCTAGGGGTTAAGATATGCGGGCTAGGGATTAAGATATACGGGCTAGGAGTTAAGATATAAGGGCTAGGAGTTCGATATACGGGCTGGGGGTTCGATATACGGGCTCGGGTTAAGATATACAGGCTAGGAGTTAAGATATACGGGCTAGAGGTTAAGATATACGGGCTAGGGGTTCGATATACGGGCTAGGAGTTCGATATACGGGCTAGGGGTTAAGATATACGGGCTAGGGGTTAAGATATACGGGCTAGGAGTTAAGATATACGGGCTAGGGGTTAAGATATACTGGCTAGGAGGTCGATATACGGGCTAGGGCATAAGATATACGGGCTAGGAGTTCGATAAACGGGCTAGGGGTTAAGATATACGGGCTAGGGGTTCGATATACGGGCTAGGGGTTAAGATATGCGGGCTAGGGGTTAAGATATACGGGCTAGGGGTTAAGATATTCGAGCTAGGGGTTAAGATATACGGGCTATGGGTTACGATATACGGGATAGGGATTAAGATATACGGGCTAGGGGTTAAGATATACGGGCTAGGGGTTAATATATACGGGCTAGGAGTTTAGATATACGGGCTAGGGGTTCGATATACGGGCTAGGGGTTAAGATATACAGGCTAGGGGTTAAGATATACGGGCTAGGAGTTAAGATATAAGGGCTAGGAGTTCGATATACGGGCTGGGGGTTCGATATACGGGCTCGGGTTAAGATATACAGGCTAGGAGTTAAGATATACGGGCTAGAGGTTAAGATATACGGGCTAGGGGTTCGATATACGGGCTAGGAGTTCGATATACGGGCTAGGGGTTAAGATATACGGGCTAGGGGTTAAGATATACGGGCTAGGAGTTAAGATATACGGGCTAGGGGTTAAGATATACTGGCTAGGAGGTCGATATACGGGCTAGGGCTTAAGATATACGGGCTAGGAGTTCGATAAACGGGCTAGGGGTTAAGATATACGGGCTAGGGGTTCGATATACGGGTTAGGGGTTAAGATATGCGGGCTAGGGGTTAAGATATACGGGCTAGGGGTTAAGATATACGAGCTAGGGGTTAAGATATACGGGCTATGGGTTACGATATACGGGATAGGGATTAAGATATACGGGCTAGGGGTTAAGATATACGGGCTAGGGGTTAATATATACGGGCTAGGAGTTTAGATATACGGGCTAGGGGTTCGATATACGGGCTAGGGGTTAAGATATACAGGCTAGGAGTTAAGATATACGGGCTAGGGGTTAAGATATACGGGCTAGGGGTTAAGATGTACGGGCTAGGGGTTAAGATATACGGGCTAGGAGTTCGATATACGGGCTAGGGGTTAAGATATACGGGCTAGGAGTTCGATATACGGGCTAGGAGTTCTATATACGGGCTAGGGGTTAAGATATACGGGCTAGGGGTTAAGATATACGGGCTAGGGGTTAAGATATACGGGCTAGGGGTTCGATATACGGGCTAGGGGTTAAGATATACGGGCTAGGGGTTAAGATAAACGGGCTAGGGGTTAAGATATACGGGCTAGGGGTTAAGATATACGGGCTAGGGGTTAAGATATACGGGCAGGGGTTAAGATATACGGGCTAGGGGTTAAGATATACGGGCTAGGAGTTCGATATACGGGCTAGGGGTTAAGATATACGGGCTAGGAGTTCGATATACGGGCTAGGAGTTCTATATACGGGCAAGGGGTTAAGATATACGGGCTAGGGGTTAAGATATACGGGCTAGGGGTTAAGATATACGGGCGAGGAGTTAAGATATACGGGCTAGGGGTTAAGATATACGGGCTAGGTTTAAGATATACGGGCTAGGGGTTCGATATACGGGCTAGGGGTTAAGATATACGGGCTAGGAGTTCGATAAACGGGCTAGGGGTTAAGATATACGGGCTAGGGGTTCGATATACGGGCTAGGGGTTAAGATATGCGGGCTAGGGGTTAAGATATACGGGCTAGGGGTTAAGATATACGAGCTAGAGGTTAAGATATACGGGCTATGGGTTACGATATACGGGATAGGGATTAAGATATACGGGCTAGGGGTTAAGATATACGGGCTAGGGGTTAATATATACGGGCTAGGAGTTTAGATATACGGGCTAGGGGTTCGATATACGGGCTAGGGGTTAAGATATACAGGCTAGGAGTTAAGATATACGGGCTTGGGGTTAAGATATACGGGCTAGGGGTTAAGATGTACGGGCTAGGGGTTAAGATATACGGGCTAGGGGTTAAGATATACGGGCGAGGAGTTAAGATATACGGGCTAGGGGTTAAGATATACGGGGTAGGTTTAAGATATACGGGCTAGGGGTTCGATATACGGGCTAGGGCTTAAGATATACGGGCTAGGAGTTCGATAAACGGGCTAGGGGTTAAGATATACGGGCTAGGGGTTCGATATACGGGCTAGGGGTTAAGATATGCGGGCTAGGGGTTAAGA